TAAATGTTTTGTTTTGATATACAAGTTGTTTGGGTTTTTTCATCTAAAAAAAGTGACATTAATTTCTTGACGACCTAATAATTTAAGTTGTACATTTATAATTTCATAAGTGTATACTATATAAATTTAACCAAGTGTATGATGTGTATAACATTTATGGGAATTACACTAGAAAAAAGAATAAAGTTGGAACATTTACTACCCTAATGTGTGATTATTACCCAAATTGTGCTGAAATTAACACCAGTCATATTCTGATAACTAGATGTGCTAGAAGAAAACAGATTTGGAGTCAGCATAGAAACTAGTCTAGAAAAGTGTACTTACATCTTTGATGAGAGAAAAAAAGTTAGATTTTGTCAACCAGTGTCATTTTAATTAATGTAAACAATTAAATGCATGGAAAAACTTTCTGAATTTTCAGGTTTCCTTACTTCATCTTATCTAGCCAGACAATATTACAAATTTAAAAGATAAATTCTAAACTTTGAAATAAAACAAAATAATCTTTTGTTTAACTTGTCAACTTGCAGAGGCCTTGATTTACTGTTACAGAAATAAATATGTTCAAGTTTACTGACATTAAAAGATTTATTTTAATTCATGCCATTTAAATATTCAAGTTTATCTTCAGTGAAACTGAAAAGAATGTTTTAGTTTTTCATTTAAAATTCAGTCTGAAGATTATTTTCTAAATTTGGAGTGTTTTTGCAGCAAGTTTCCAAGCAACCTATTGCATCAAAATCAGGAGAATATTTTAGTAATACTAAAACACGAGTAAATAAAACAACTTTATCTTTTTCAGTAACTGTAATTCAGAATATCAGTCTTTAAATTTATTACAAATAATATTTTTTATAACTAAATAAATGGAATAGGAAAAATATTGTTATACTAAACAAAGTGGACTGTCTGATTAAAGTGGGTAAAATTCTTAATAACTAAATTTGTTAAGCTAGATCAAGAACCTACTTATACTAGAGAAACTTTAGGGCAAAAATATTGACTGAAATTAAAATAAGATGGATAACTTATTAACTCAGACACAATATTCAGTAATTAGACCACAAGGAAGCCATCTAAGGAATTTTCAGAAACTTCCTAAAGTATCTATGGAAGAAAGCCCATAAACACCTATAGTTTCAAATACTAGAACTTACAACTTAGAAGGGCATTTAGTTGGTTTTATGAAGGATGGTTTTGAATTTTCTGGTTAAGAGTTTTTTGCTTTAATTTGTCGAGTTTTCCTAGTAATATTCCTTTGGAAAAAAAATACAGCTTATTTCGTAACAATAATTCAAATAACTTGTATATACCAAAACCTGTATTTTTAAAGTTAATGAATTTTACTGCCATATAAATTAATTTTTTTGTTTAATGGTAATCTTTATGATCAGATTGATGATGCAGTCACATGCTCTAGATTAGTATCTTCTTTGGCAAACTTTGTTTCTTCATTTTCATGAAAAACAATGGTTGGAGTAATATCAAAAATACTTTAAACCTTTAAGTATCTCAAATGTTCATCAATTCTTGAAGTATCAAAACAGTAAATATAATAGTATTTGATTCCTTGGTGAACATCAGTTAGACAAGTGTTTCTAAACAACTGGTCTGCAGACAGGAACCAGTCCATCACAAATACCTTGTCAGTCTGTGGTATTTCAAGAAAACAAATGAAAACTGACAGAATATTCATAGGCAAACTGAAATGGTTTTTCACTGTACTTATATTTTAGTGAGCCATGATAGTTTAGGCAGCAATCCAGTACCTGATATCAAAAGGGTTGAGAAACACTGAACTAGACCATAAAATTGCTTTCTTAGATACAGTAGTTCATAACTGTGAAGGTAACTTTTAAATGTGAACTTAACCATAAAGACATTCGCTAGCTTGTACTTCAACTTTATAAGCTATTTACTAATACTGTTCAAGGGAAAAATTAATCGTGTTCTTAATTTATCATGCCCACAAAATCTCAAGCACTTAGGAATTTTTGGATAAAGAGTTTGATAACATTACATCATTGACACAAATGCATTTTATTGAAGAAATAACCTACTTTTAGAGAGGGGTTGTTAGCTAAGGTGTGATATATCCAGAAAAGCCGTGTGGTTACAAAATAAGCTATTATAACGTCCACAGTATAATGGCCTCTTGATAGAAGTACCATAAAGATTCCTGTGATGCTCGCTGTCCACATTAACCAGTGAAGAAGCCAGAAATGTCGAGGGGTGTCTTAACAAAGAAAGTCACAGTTATTAAGTCAGCAATAACTAATTAGTATACATATTTTATGAAAAATCCTCCAGACAATTAATCAATTTTAACTTAACTTCCAGTTTTCTGTAGTCTTAATAACTAACCATTCTTAATGTTCATTAAACTTATTTTTTTACCCTGTTATAAAAGAATGTATACTTTATACCACCATGAGTCTCTTTTAATTATTATGTGTAAATCAATAAAAAGATGAAACAGGTGATGTGGTGTGCAGATTAAAATTTTTGTTTCAAATTATTAGTACAACCTTATTTAATATACCCACCACCTCACTGGTAGACTGACCTGGGACATTAGCTAGTATCGTAGAAACAAGAGTTTGAAGAAAACAGATAAAGATGATGAATTGTAAAGATTGATGATATTGGTATTATAACACAAATATATATATATATATACAACTATAATGATGTTTCAACCTCTTTAGGTCATTATCAGGTTCAAATTGAATTTTGAAAAACAAGCCCTTACAGCAATTACAAATTTAGGAGCATATCTCATGACTTGAGAACAATAGTGAAAGTATGGTACTGTTGTTTTAACAACGAGATGATAACTATGGGACTAAGCTTTAAATGTAAGGTAGTAATGAACTGAATGTGATAAGATGGTAGTACATGGACTTTTTTGTATCAAATAATGAGACAAAGTTGAGCATGATGACATTTTCCACAGATATGTTGTTTTTTAAGTTGTAATGGTCAAAAATATGAGAGGGTGTTTTTTTTGTACCTTAAACCTCTTTGGCTTGTTTCTTTGATTTTTTTTTTTATTTCAAACAACTTGGCCAAAAACATTCATAAATATAAAAGACTGACAGATCTACACTTCTCCAACTATGATACACTCTATCATTCCCAATCTCTAGTGTGTACTCTAGTTTTATTTCTTATCTATTTTATTCTTCATTTACCAGACTTATACATGCAACACTGTATTTATCTGGCCCAGTTGCTTAAGTTCTACATACACGTGAATACACAAAAATGTGTGTACAATTAAAAGCAGACATATTCTAAGTACAAAATAATCAGATAATCCTACAGCCTTTGCTTTGTAAATGTTTCATAATCAGGGATAAACTGAAGAAAAAAGTACTTTCTGGAAATATTCTTGTTGTAGGATATTTTTAACTGTTTTTAATTCATAACACATTTATAACTAATAAACATGTAGATTATCATAATTTTTATAGGTTTAACAGTATTTCACATTTTTACTTTAAATACTAAATTGTTAAGGCATTTTCTTCAGTTGTTTCACTTAATTGTCCTTGGTGTTACCTTATTATGGATTTGTTCTTACCATGCGAAAAATGTACTGAAAATTATCACCAACACTTTAATTTACTGTTTTCTTATTTCATAACATACCAAATTTTAGTGTCACAAGCCACTGAGCCACCTTCAAACTTTATTAAATGAGAAACATTAATTTTTTTCAAATTTCCCATGAATATGCACTGAATTATTTTACAGGTTGCTGAATACCCACTAAATTTATTTGTCTGAATTTAACCAGAATCAGACCTGACAATTCAATTGATGATTTAATTTTTCTATTTATATAGAATACTTATTTTAATAATTAAAGAAACAACATGGACTTTAAAATTTTTGACTTTTGTATTTATTTGTTAAGCACAAAGGTGCACAATGAGTATTTATGCTCTGTCCACCATAGGGATTGGACCCAGTTTTAGCATTATAAGCCCTTCAGCTTACCATTGAACCACCTAACCCATGCAAATTTCAAGACAGAAAATCTTTAAAAAAAAATTAAGAAAAATAAAAATGAATGATTGTTCACTAGTTCATAAACAGCTATTACAGAGTGCTAATGAGAACATATTTTACCTGATTTTAATTACTTTTCTGTATTTTTAATTTTTATAGATAAGCCTAGACTTTTAACCAACATCCTAGTTCTTGTTTAAGTAGAAATCTGAAGGACTTCAGATTTTGAACTGTCGTACCTTAAACAAAATTAACACTTTAAGTCAACTTTACACAAATGATCTTTTTCACTTTTACTTAAACAGGTGTGTTTTTAAATATGCTAGTAACCATAAATCAGACTTAATGACTTGCTGTCACATTACATTCAAATTAGGGCCCTGCAAAGTTTCAAGATTCGATTTGATTGTGAATTGGGATTGAGGATTCAATATGATTCATTAGCTGGGCTCTAATTGGACATTTTCGATTCTACATCACTTCCAGTAAACTTTAGAATTTAGTTTTAATTCACTCTATATACTGGAACCTATTTCCTTGTAATAACACTTTTGTACCATTCTTCTTCCAGATGTTCAAGTACATTATATATCTTTTGTTCTCAGAAATATTTACTTTTATATTCGTTACTTATTGTGTGTAGAAGCACTCTACATAAATAAAGAAACCATTTTCTATTTTATTTAAAATTTAATTCAGTCTATATACCCTATAATCTATATATGCACAGCCGATTCGATTTGAGGGCAGGGCCCCAATTCGAATTTTATAACTTAAATTCAAGGTATAAAGTCACAGATTTTATTCTAACCTTAGATTTTCAGTTATTTATATTGAGCTGTCAGTTTTCAGCAATATGTACACATGCTGTTCTAAATTATGAATGATATTAATAAAACTAACATTCTTTCATCACAAGATAGGCCATGGTTAAAATTACTGTGTGACCACTGTAGATGTAGTCCCCACAAAACGTGTGCCGTCCATTGATGGACAGTCCAAAACCACCAAGCATATACAGCACCCGTCCAAGAATAAGACCAATGGAGGTTTTGTTAGCCTAAAAGAAATAGTCAGAAAAAAACAATTCCATTATAAATGCACTTTGAGTTTCTGCAGAAACTTCTCATACAAATAACACACAATTTCAATAATATTTTTATTATTTAACTTTTAAATAAACATAATGACAGTCAAGTGAGATTTTAGAGGATGAATGAGGAAACAATAAGTAATCATGAATCTACAAGAACTTCTATTATGCCTTATGTTCCAACATGTGGCGATGTCTATTAAAAACTCTTACTTTGCCCCATGTTCCTACATATGATAAGGTCTATTAACCCTTTTGCATCAAACTTCTGAAATTTGCAAGAATCCGACTGGGGAATGATACAATACGTATGGTAACACTGAGATTTCTCACTGTATCCTCATAAAAAATGGTAAGATTTTGTTAAAGATTATAAGTAATATGAAATTATGTTAAGTCTTTCTACTAAAAGTATGTTATCTAATTATTGTACTTAATGTTATCTAATTATTGTACTTAATGTTATCTAATTATTGTACTTATTTGTACTCAGAGTTTGAGTGCAAGGTGATTTTCATTTTAAATATAAAAATACATTTCTTCATCTTACAGTTTAAGTCTTATTTGCATAACCTCTTTGTTAGCTTAATTTATTACTTGTTCTTGAATTATTAAAGGAATAGCAAATGTTTTTGTAAGGTAAATTTTTATATTTTATTTTTCATTTCTCTACCATATCACTAACTGTAAATATTATCATTAACATATAACACAATGAAATGTTTAAAATTAAGAAAGAGAAAAATATATATATATACTTTTTAATTTTTCTTAGAATATCATAAAAGATCTTTTTTCATGATATTTGTAATTTCAGGTCTTTTCATATATACTTGATTTCTGATGTTTTATTTTCCTTTCCTGTCCTTTGCTATTTATCATACGTCTCAACACAACTAAAGATGCCATCGGGAAATATTACAGTATCTTCAGGAGAGACGCACAAGCCTTCAGCAAAATTATCTTGTACTTGTGTAAGATCATAGGCCTTGAGAACTGGGGCAATGTTTGAGATAAATTTAAAAAATATTTAAACCTTTCAATTATGCATTTTAAAATATAAATAATTGATAACTAATTAACATATAAAAGTAAAACCTGAATGCAATTTAACTATCTCTCTAACTATAACATAGGTAGGAAACAACGGTAAGTGCTATCGTGGAAAAAGCAGCTAACAATACTACTAACAGTTACATCTACTCAATGATGACAACTGAGTGCCCATTTTAAAATAACTACTGTTGGATTATAGTGTAAAATGAGCTCTTTACAATGACTATATACACACACGTGTCAAGTAACTACATGTGACTTGTAAAGCTCAAGGAATAGTATAGAAGGTAGGCTTGGCACTTATCAGGGGTAGGAAATATTTATCTCTAATTTCACAGAACTCAGCCAAAGAACTTGGGAACATACATGTCAGAAGGGCATGTACTGATTGTTTAGACATAGATCTACCAGACTGGGGTTATCTTTCTCAAGATAGAGAGTGCAACAGTTGAGATTTTCTATAGCCCATGGGTATTTTTTTTAAAGGCTTCTTTGAATTATAACATACATTATACTGTTAATTTTATTGGCATACATTAATAATAAAGTTGTTTAATTAAATTTTGAATGTAACTCAGTGACTTAAGTAGAAAGGGATTTAAAGGCATTGTGAAAGGGTTAACTGCTATTATGCCTCATGTTCCAATATATGATAAGGTATGTTAATAATTCCTATTATATCCCATCTTCCAACATATGATAAGGTCTTAGCATAGCAGTCAGTATTGATATTTTTATACTCCTACCTGCTCTGGTGTTCCAAATTTTATTTATTAGTAAACTCATTTTTTATGTTCAAAATATTTTACTTAACAACAGTTACCATGAATTAAGGATATCATCCTACTTACAAAATGTTTCTTTGTTGCATTACTCATGATGGCTAGCTATACAAGCTTATAAAATGTAAAACTTAAATATGGAGCTAAAAGTAAACTAATCATGACATGAATATTTGCATTATAATTTTAACTGACTCATTCATTTGTCGCAAAATATGACATTTTTATTGATATGGTAAAAAAATTTAACTTGACAGCATTGGCTTATAACAGATTTTTTTTCACTTCAATTACTTGAAATAGAATTTGTTTTGTAATGGAAGATCTGGATAATACACACTTACAAACAGGTAAGTGACTTAAGATGGTTAATGTCCCAGGTTAAGTATATTGTCAAAAAAACCAATTAGTTATTAATTACTTAATTAATCTCTATAAATACTAAACAATGAAGAAAATTAGTTAATTTTTGTGTAACCATTATTACACAAACAATGGTTCAATTTAAAAGTTAATTAGCTTTGAATCATCCATCTAAAATTGACTTTATGCTCAGACTTTATTAAAACCTAAGCCATTAAACAATATATTTCTGTAAATTATAGACATGAAAACTGTAATAAATTCACATTTTTAAGGTAACTGATTTCCATATTGTGGTGGCAACAAATTTCTGAATCTTTGAATCCAGGAATTGAAATTAATTACAAAAGAAATTAGTTGCACCTGCTGCATTTGGAAGTAACATTTTACTTGAGCCAGAAAATTTTAACTTGCACTAACTTCATAATTAGAATAGATTGCTCTACCCCTATAGAAAAAAAAAAGTTTACATTAGGCCATGTACCTTTCTTCTGATACAACTGCTTTTCTAAAAGAGGCAATCAGGAGTGGACAAGTGGTACAAGTACTGCAGGCTGCAAACACACACATACATAGGCCTACATGAAGATGAAGGGAAAAAACGATTGCTTTGTAGGGAGAAAGTTAAATCACACAAAGAATTACAGATAGCAGTAGATCTTTTAGCAAATTAAATTTTACATAATTTTGGAAAAGAGACTGCAGAAAGATTGGTGCAGTGAACAATACATTACAATGGAAATTTAAGCCAAACCTCACTTACTATGAACTTCTGTAACCTTGAATTCATAAAGGACAGAAGTTCACCAAAAATCAACATCAACAGGTCAACAAGAGATATTGTAAAAAATGTTTGCAATGTCAAACTTTTCCACCAAACATCTATACACAGTCTTAAAAAATTAATGATAGTATAATACATATGTAGAAGTTGTGTGTACATGGATCAAGCTATCAGGTCAAATTTGTTATTAAATTACTGGTTTTACTTGATCATACTTACCCGACTTCCATTCCCACCATTCTTTTGTAATTTATATATATATTTATTTATTATTTAAATTGTGCCTCTTCTTCAATTTCATGTATGAAAGTCTGATGTAAAAATTTGCTGTTATTGCCTATATCATGCAAGCTACGTACAAATACATGATTTCAACCATGTGAAACATGGCATGTGACTGACTTCTCAAATGAGTACTGACCAATCAAAAGAGGCATTTTGCACACCATTCCTTCCTCTCTGTAAACTAACAAATGGTAGTCATTTTCCAACTTGGCAGCTATATGTTGACAATGTTTGTGGATTTGATGTGAAATCTTGGCCTTAAGACCTATTTGTGCACAAGGCAAGTTGGTATCTCACTTTACTTGCATTAGGTAGTATTTTACTTGTGAAAAACAAGCATTACATGATAAATTTCAAACCCTGGAATCAATTATGCTGTATAGGGTAATAAAGATGGCAACACTTTTTTAACACCCTTGAAAGCCCTCTTTTAATTCTCTCATTTCTGATGTATTGCAAAAGACTGATGAGCATGTAAAGTAGAAGAAAATTGGTCTTGCAATGTTCATGCTTTCAGTTTCTCTACTAAACGTAAAAGCTGGTAAGTTAACACTTTAGACACCGTATATCAAATTATTTTAGAAAATTATAAAAAAAGTATTCAAGATGTGTTTTGTCCTTGAAAACTAGTCTTAATGGAAAATTAGAATAAAACATATTTTTACTTTTGAGTTAAATACAAACATTTCAGAATGTTTCCCTGTAAGCAGTGACATTCTTACAGGCCAAGCACTACTTGGTTAGTAAAAATTGGTTTTCTATCCATTAATATAATGATATTGTTTTTCTAAAATTTAAAATAAAAATGTTGACTTTCATATGTTTAAATGTATCCCTCATAGAGTAAAAAAATTAAATCTTTGTCAATACACACACACACACAGAACACCAACCAAAACTCCAACTCTATCACTGACTTTACAGGCAAATGATGAGAATGAAACAAGTCGCTATACATTCAAGGGAAGCAGCAATAAGGTCTGAATGGTGGTTGTCATGGAAATAAAACATCATTATGCTAGGTACCAAATAAGAGCCTTACATGATCTTTTTAATGTATATTCAACATGCAAGTGAATTAGAGTTTTACTTATAGACATCAGTTGCTGGTTTTGTGTTACATTAACTTGTTTATCACTTAAAACAATTATAAAAGATGAACTTAATTAATTATCATGATGGAACTTACATTTTATATTTTTAAGAAACTGCTCACAATACATATTGTTTCATTTCAACTTGCTTGCACCTGCCCTCCCCACCCCATATTCCCCACCTCCACCCCCTATGAATCATTGCTTCATCATGCTGCTCATCGTATGTCACTGCCTTTAAGTCTGGTTTTAAAAACAAATAACTGAAAGTACTGAAATTTTAACTTCTAGTTTTTCAACCAAACTGTACAATAGAGCTTAATCCATGTATAATTATAACAGGTTAAAGAACTGAACTCAGAAGTTTTCAGAACACCACTATTATTTCAATATAAGTTTATATTTACAGAAAAAATAATAATTTTACCTAAATCTTTTTTTTTTCATTTTTTAATATCTGAGATCAAATAAAAATATGAATTAAACATTCCATCAGCAATTAACTTTGAAAAGAAGAAATATTAATTTTGTTAATTAATGAAAAGCTGCACAGATGACCGAGACATTTTATTTATGGGATTTGAAATCTCAACACAGTTTGAGTGTTACTCTGGACAACAATCAGGTCATATGTATTTACAGAATGTTGTAATATTTAAAAAACTATTACACATAAACTTAAAAATTTCAGATTACCATAATAACTAGATATTACTATTAAACATCTGTATAAAATGAAAAAGGGTCAAATATATTCAAACTTGTTTGAAAATTGAATTACTATCAGCATCAAAGAGAATTGATAGAAAGAGAAGTGAAAGTTCATTTTAAACACAAAACTAATCTCCAACTCTCTCTCTCTCCTGAACAAAAAGAAAAATTATATTTTACCTTTGGTGAACAATAATAAGTGGTGCTTGCTACTGGTACTTGTGTTACAAACATTGTTATACTCCTCATGAAGTACAACAAGCCCATTATAAGGAAGACTCTTCTTAGAATGATAAATCTGGAGGAAAAAAATTAAGCAAAAAATGCTTTTTTACTTAAAACTATAAGAATAACCTATACCTGAAAGTTAACATTTTTCTTACACTGAAAATGTTTTTCCAATAGGTACTTCATCCCTTCTGCCCTTTAAGCATTGCTTAAAACATTTTCACGATCAGTGCACCAATCTATTTACCCTATCAATTTTGAGCCATTTCTGAACAGGTACATATCATGTGACTACTCTCCACCAATAGTGTTGCACCACCTATATTAGCACAACAAGCTTCCTCTGCTATTCCTGCTCAATCTTTACTTTCAAGAATTGGTACGCTACAAAAGAAGAACACGGCAGTGGGGAGAAAGGGTGAGAAGTGTGTGAGCGGAGGTAAGACTGTATCAGAAGTTAAAATTTTTTTTACACTGAAAATGTATTTCCAATAGATACTTACCCCCTCTCAAACAAAGCTAGAATCCCACACTGCAAAGGTGGAGGGGCTGTAGGAAATTAATCTGATACAGGTGGAAAAAAGGATGTGCACAAGTGCAATTTGTTCTGAAGTGCAATCAACAGTAAAATATAAACAGAATTAACTAAGCACATTCATAACCTCAACCGAACAGAGCTCCTTGGCATTAGGAGTAGGAGGATCAAAAAATATATATTGTAACATAATGTAATATATGGCAATATAAACATAGCGGCTAGGGCATGTGGACCGTGTTTTATATACTCATCAACCCCAATTGTAAGTAAACAGTGTGTCATACATCAAGCTACTGGAATTACAAAGAGGAAGTTAGCTTTCAGCCGAAACCAGACAAACTCCCAAAATAACCATTGTAGCAAGAAGTACAACAAACCGAACCAGGCATTGCCTCAACTCAACCTTAAGAACGGGGCAATATCTGTTACTGGTCTTATGAGCAGAAATCATAAGTCACTCAACGAGGAGGACATAGAAAATTTGCTCAACCATAAAAACAGCATACATACATCCTGTATCCAGCATTACAAGTCAGATGAAGTCCCCCACACTCAACCGTAATATTAGGGAAAGAACCTCCTGCAACTAGAATTTACAAATAGAGGGACCTCTACTGCACACAACCATAGGAACAGGGTAGTGTCATCACAAATCAAGTATTACAAAGAGGATCCTGCATATGCTGGACCTGCTCCAACCTATTTTTTATTTTTCAATTGACAGCTGTCTGCCCGGGAAAAGGCATCCAGGGAAAATCTAAGGAGGGAAACCAGCTTTGTCCTCTTCACATTGAGTGAATAATAATGAGTATGTATGGTAAAGTAAATTTCTAAGCTCACTCAGGAGGAAGCCTCCATGGTTCCCAGTCGCTGGAGTGGTGAACCATGGAGGCTTCCTCCTGAGTAAGTTTAGAAGGTAAGGACTCTCATGCTCTACTGGAAGAAAAAAGGGACTCCCATCACAGAGGTCCAGACAAATGTCACATTGGAGAAAGTGCAATGGGTGTCTGCGATTCCATATTTTGAAAAGCAGACCGATCCAAATTTATTCCATCAAAGGGTCAGCAGAGATGGGCGAGAAATACCCCTTCTAATAGAAGTACCATGAGTCATGAAGTCCATGAGTGATGTTCCACCACTGAGTGCAACTTACTAATATACTAGAACATACTATATATATATATATATATATATATATATACACCACTGGGTATGTCACCAATGGTCTTGCAGAAACACCCCCCTCTCTATGGTGAGCTTTATAGTGCAAACAGTAAACGTGCAGGTTTGAGGCAAAGCATACCTGACTAGGCAACACCTGCCACAGAGTGGGATCCTATTATCAGTGATTATAACTAGGATTGCTGAAAATAAAAACATAAATGAAAGGAAGTGATAAGACTTACTCCAGTCAAAGTCAAACGAATGTGCATGGGAGTCATGCAGATATTGAGTGATGAAGGTATTGAGAGTAGCCCACATTCCAACCTGGATAATCTCCTCTAACATATGGCAAAAGTGAGAAGCCAAAGATATAGTGATATGATGAAAATGATAAGAAAAAACATTGTGAAGACAGCGACCTTCCACGAATAAGTCTGAACCCAACCAGTTAATATGACAGAAGACAGATCATGGCAAATGGAAGGGTTCTATGGAATAAAAGTCAGGAATTTATTCAGAAAGTAGAATATGCTACATAACACCATAAGGAGCAAACCAGACAAAGAAGCCAATCAGGGTCAGAATGGGAGTACCGGTGGGAGATAGAAGTTAAAAAAATGCATGTGAAAGCCAAACAGCCTTCATTGGCAGCATAAGTCTGAGAAAGAAAAGACCATTTTGGATATAGTATGACATAAGAGGAATGGTAGAGAAAGCAGGTGACATTGAAGGCAGGTTTATCTGATCGACAATGTCCACAAGCAAGAAAAGCAGGAAATAGGTCTTGAGGGAGATATGGTAGATGGCACATGAAGACAAAGGTTCAAAGGGAGGATGGGAAAGACAAAGGACCACACTGAAATCTCAATCAGGCAAATTAAATGAACATGGTTGACACATGACTCGAAAGGAGTGAAAAAAAGGAGGGAAATGACAGAAGAAGACAAAACCTGGAGAAACAGAAGGTGGTTGTCAAGGCAGCCTGATAGCTAGACACAGTTGAATTGGACAAGCCTTTGTCAGACAACCAGGCAAAGAATAGGGAAAGAGAATGGAATGGTGGGAAGGATGGAAACCACATCGAAGAGACCACAGGCAGAAGGTATACCATCACCTATAGTAAATGGACATGGAAGAAGGTCTAATGGATCGGAAAAGGAAAGATACAACACATGGAGACAATCCCTGGGTTGAGACAATGGGTCTGACAAAGGCCATGCATGAAGAGAGAGTGTGTGGTGATATCTGGATGAACAATGTCTGACCAAAGTCAAAAGAATACCAAAATAAGAAAGTGATGGAAAAAAAAAGTCCAAATTGTCTTCTCATTGATTGTATTCTTTCTCAGAAACATTGTAATGTTGAAAAGAAGAAATCACTTGCCAAACATATGAATCTTGCTCCCTACGAATTATGGCTTGTGACTCCTCTGCAGATAAAGTCAAACCCGATTCCTGGGAAGTCATACCAGTAGCATTACAGACTGTAACAAGAATTTATGTAGTCAATACATTGATCACAAATTCATACTAAGATCTCTGGTAATTTGGTAAAAAGAAATAAGTGCAAAAAAAATTGTTGAAACAAGTGAATGCAAACACAATAAAATAAAAATTGTTGAAAAAAAATTTAAATGGCAAAGAAGTATGTTCATAAATGGTTGCCACATGTGAAAAAACATGTCTAAACAATGCTGTGCCAATCGAAAAAGGGAAGATTGTGTGGGAATAGAATAGAGAGCTAGCTACACCAATATAGTTGGCACAATACTATTGGTGTAGATAAGACAGTTTCTGAACCTAAAGCATGTATTTCCCTTAGAAATATTTTAACAAAAACCTCAAATTAAAAACATACAGATGCTATTCCCTTGATATCTGATAAAAAAATTATGTAAAAAACTTAATGAATGAAAAATAACTTTTTACTTGTGAAATTTGCAGGCTATGAATGAGCATAGTAAACTAATCTTTCTTTCTGTATGCACATAAAAATAAATTCCAATAATACAGAAACACCTTCAAACAACACTTCACCTCATTTTAAGGCATAATGATAGCTATATTAACCCTATAGTAGAATCACCAAACTTCATGTGAACATCAAAGGCTTTTTAAGATATTTTTCTAAACTATGTATGTGCCAAGTTGCTTGTAGGTCCAGAACTTTGTTAGCTATAGTGTTCCTAATAACATACAAGGTCACATGAAAAATTTAAGAAGAAAAATTACCATCAATGGTGCAATTAATCCCACTAATTTTCTAATGGGTATCCTATAAATTTCACTCAGAAAATGTCTGATGTTACTAAATTTTTTTGGTAAGTTCTTTATATTGGGCAAAACAGGTAGTAAACTGTATAAATTTGAAGATTATACTGCATTTGTATAATGATGATCAAAACTGAATTTTTTGTTGTTAGTACCATATTTACTCAAAAATGTTAAGTTTCAACTTCTAAATAAATATTTATGCATATTTTACAACTACAGTTATTTGAAGATGAGAAATTTAAACTTACGGGTATTTTATTTATTTCATCAAAACTAACACATATAGAATTAATTACCCTTTATGTACTATCAACTCACCTATTTCTATGTATAAAAACTATAAACAGTGTTGACCATACGGCTACTACAATGATACCCTCAGACACATCCAAAGCCCATTCAGCAGGCAGAAACAAGTCAAAGAAAATGTCCGGTAATGGAGGGAACTTTGTACGTTCTGGCATTCTTTCATGCACAATTGAGAGGCAGGTTAAATTTAAGACTAGGTTCCAGGACATGAAGATAAAAGCAACAAATGTTTTCCATTTCTCTGAGGGAAACTTTCCTTCATCTCTGTCAAATGAAGTTAAACTAATCCTAATATCATCTCCTGTGTCACTTGAATCTCCATTCATCTTTTGTTGATTAAGACGATCAATCTCAGTATTTATACAATCAAGGCCAGCTTCCTTGGCCATCATTTACAAAAAAACTGGTCTCAAAGTAGTTAAAAGATTTGTATTCTCAGTGTTATTTAAATGATTCTCAAAATACAATAGTTCTCCTCTTCAAACAAAAATCACTAAACAAATTTTGTTGCACTCATAAACCATGTTGTGGTAAAGTGTGTCTGTTCACAATCATGAAATATCACCTTCATTAAAGAATTCACCTTTGTAGAAGACCAATGACTGCTCTTAACTTTTCAATTCCTGTCTAAGATGAGAAGAAAGTTGTATGGTAACTGACAAATCATTCAAAAGAAAAAATCAATTATCTTAGAGTGAGCACAATTAACTTACTTGAATTGTATACTTATTCTTCACAATGAATTTATACTTTCAAATAGCCAAAATTCTTACAGAACTATAAGGTTTACCAATATTCTAACAAAAAAAATAATTAGTCCTATTCTGCATATAACTTAAGTAAAGTGTAAGATTATTATATTTATAACAGTCACATTTACTGCACCTCATTACTCATGTATCCCTCCAATGTACATTTATAACATCATGGAGAAGAGTATGGTACTTATGAATCAGGGTTAGAACTTAAATTATGATGATTTTCAGATGTATTTGGATTTCTCTATTAAATAATACAAAACAAAAATCATAAACTTGAGATTTTTATGTCAAAAGGTGATTTACTTATTCTGTTGAAATATGACACAGATTGAAACTGGATTAAACTTGAAATGCATTCCACTCTTACCTTACCTGTCGTAACACACTTTACACTAATTTTCAGTTTTCTTAAAACAACTTTTGCAAAAAATATTAAAATATTATTTGAACATAAAACCACTTTTCTAATCTAAACCTAAGTATGACAAGTAAAAATATGACAGCTCAAATCTTATTCTAACTATAGAGTTTCTCATAAATTTCATCAGTTTCATCTAGTATTCTGTAACACATTCTCACTAAAAGTCTTCTCCCCTATCTGCTGTGTCCACTGTGTGAAATCAAGCCCCAGATTTTAGCACTGCAAGTCTGTAAACTTACTGCTGACACCTTAGAGAATAAACCCAAATAGATTTAATCTCCTTGCTATTATGATATCCTCAATTTTAACAGGATGTAACTCACATTTTACATATAAAGCCACTTCTGCTCCATCTTTTTTAGCTCTCTATCCCTACTAAATAACCCATAATCCTATATTTCAAAGCAATTTCTGTTATCAAATTTGTCTACATTTAAAGTTTCACTTATTCCCACAATATCAAAATACTCCATTTCAACTACTGCTCTAAAGTCATCTACTTTATTTCTAGTTCTAGTATTACAATAGCAACAATTTAGCCTACACTTAGAAATACTCCTGTACTTTGTTCCTACAGAACACTTTTCTTGACATCTTAATTCTTGTGCATTTAGTTTATCTCACCCCTCAACAGCTGAATTAATAACCTTTGAAAAAAAGCCAACCCCTACCCTATTTAAATGCAGCTATCCATTCCACAAGGTTTCCTTTTCCCATGAAATTGTTCCCATAAATCCAACAAGCTAATATGCTTGTCCTTACATATTAACACAAGTCTAGCATTCAGCCCTAGTGACCAACTGAAAATCTCATCCCAACAATTAAGTCTCAGCAGTCCCTCTGACAGAATTAAGTTATGGACATTTTCTTTAAATGCCTTTACTGATCAAATAGCTCCTCTGACCTACTCATCCACACGTCATTAAACCTTATGTGCACAACAAAGACAGTGTCACTGCTAGAAGACTTTACTATATCACTTGATTTAACAGTTATATTATCTATTGATGCCCTAAGATACCATAATTTAATTCTTTTCTCCTTATTTACCCCACAGGCTGTAATGTATCAAAAATCACAGACAAATATAACCTATTTAAGTTTTACATTACCATCCCGATATCTCTTTTGTTTTTCCTTTCATCTCCTAGTTCCTCTCTGCACAAACTAAAGACTCAAATCTGTTACCTAACAGACCCTGCTAATAATGATTCAATTCACTATTTCTACCCTAATACTGTTTCAAACTTCCTGAAAGTCTCTTCCATGTAAAAGCTTAATTTTTCTTTAATCCCTTGGGCCATTTCCCACAGTTTACCCTTTTATTTTCCTTCTTTACTCTATTTAGGATAGCCTCCACTTTCCATTACATGCAAATTCCAAAAACAAATTGCACAGGTACAGTACTAGCTTCCTTAAAAGTGCATGCTAATACCAAGTTCTCATATAACACCAACTACTTGCACTTGTCACACTGTAGAAACTGTGAGCCCTTCACACCTGAACTATTCTTAACCATTGTAGTCTAAAAATGAAAAAGCAACATTGTAAATACTATAAATCCAAATAGCCTATTGGCAACACTATTAAGCCTAATATTTGAGAACTAAACATATTACACTATTTTATTGTTATTCCATGTGTAGCGATGAACAGAGCGAGACGTAGTATTTTAAACTGCACTTTCAGAAGTCATAAGAACTAAAAATTGGTTTCATAAAGTGAAGTATTCAGTTAACAACATTTACAATTGCAGTATTATCTAACATGTATGATTTCCTCAGACTACTGGAGGCTCAAGAATACTGAGGTACAGAGCGCCCTCATCCCTGAACTCGAACCAAGTGTATCTCACAAGAAGAAAGACAGAAAACAAAACACAAGTTATAAGTATCTTTTTTTACATAAAAAAAAGAACAACAAGTGCTTCTCATGTATGTATAGAATGAGTAAAAGACGTGTGAGAAACATTTTCTTACTACATGAAATACGACCTCCCTTGTGAGTTAAATTAAAAACAAATCTAGTGAAATCTAAAAGAAAAATATTCCAGCAAGTAAAAATAAAGTGGAAGTAAAATCCATGTTAACTGAATGTTACACTTAAAATAAAACCAATATTAACATTTTCCTTACCTAATGTATTTCACATGGATACTCAACTCTATGCACTAAAGCATTATTATGTTTTATGCACTACTATGTAAATTCCTGCACATGCCACAAATCCTGAACAAAGCACCCCACCTACACATATCTTTGTGTATTGTGCCAGCCAATGACATAATCATCATTAGACTAGAGCCCTTGAATATATAAAAGGGCAACATATCCTCTGTGCACAGTAATCCCCATGAACACCAGCATGTGAACACAGGTTCATTTTTGACAAGACAAACTAAATGCACCAGAAGTAAGGAGGCAGTTCAGAGTGGAGAGTATCTATCTGAAATACATTTTCAGGTAAGGAAAATATTAACTTCAGAAATGATATTCACCTTTCTGCACCACAAAGAGCTAGAATCCCACAATGAAGATGGTGGAGGGGGCTGGTGCAGAGAAATTACAAAGATGAACTCCATTCTGAATAGTGTCAGAAAGGGAAAACTCATGAGGCAAAGGGTGGCCTAGTGGGGCAGCTGTTGTGGGAGACCACACCCATCTCAACCATGGAATACTCTTCATCCAATAAAGGTAGTATAGCAAAATATATTGTCATAAGAATATTTTGCTGGGTGCTAACATACCGCTAAGGCAAACTCAACCATCCATTATATTATTCCACAACCAAACAGCTGAGCATGAAGGTATAGTGTGGCTAAAGCTGTAATGAAAACCATCCAACACTGAAGAAATACTTATGTGAAATACTCACCACACAAATCATATACAGGGAGTAGCATCCCAGAACTGTGTCCTGTGGTTAACCCACAGGAGTGGATCATAATAAGACCAGACAGATAAGACAGAATATGATTGCAAGGCTGCAGAGTACCAACCAACTTGACTATGTAGTGAAAAAGAAACTGCACTACTGGAGATCAAATGCTGGAAATGGATTAGGCACCCAGAACTATACCCCACCAGAACAGAGGCAGTGGAAAGATCTGGTCATAGGATCGTTTGTCATCAAGCATAAAGCTAACACAAAGTTCTACCTGTGCTATGATCACCACGGATATAGAATCCAATGTATGTAAGCAGAAAAAGCCCACAAACTGACAATTGAGCCTTGGAAGGCTCCAAAGAGATACAAGTCTGGGTAAGGTGAGAGAAGATGAATGGTCTTGGTCGTGTGGGATTGAGTGAGCCACTACAACCATGAGAGATGCAAAGAAGATTTGTATCTCTGGAGATACCTGCATTGATAGGCCAGAAACTACTGAAGGGGACACACATATAGGCACATCCAAGAGGAATGAGGGACTCAAGAAAAAAACAACTTAAAAATGACTCATGCAAGAAATGTAGACATGAAAGCCCTGGTATCAAATGCTCCATGTAACATAGACAAAGAAGTAAACTGAGCCTGCCCTGCATATCAAGTGAGAAAGACCTCCAAGTTAATGAAATATAAGGAGGGGGTTGAGACTGAAATGGAGAGCTAAACTACCTGAACAAGAAGGGAGGTCACAACAGTGGAAGTCATGTTAGAAGGGGCAAGTAGAGGCCAAATATTCACAGAGTAGTGGAAAAACAGAACTCAAGAATTTAACCTCTAAGTCAAAATACATTGGACCAATTTAAAAAACATGGAGCCATAACCAACTCGAAGGAAAGGACTTGAGAGCCAAATGTCAACTATTTTGGATGAACCAAAAACAAAAGGCAGACAAACAAATCAGGACATGGAGAAAATGTCCAAGACCCCAAATTGAATCATCCACCATTGGGAAGTATCCAATGGAAGGTGAAAAAATGGCCTATTGGGAACCAAGAAAAAAAACAAAGTTGGGTCAAGTGGAACAAACTGATATCTGGCCAAGAACCTCCCATTTATATGGGAACAATAAAAAATGGGAGAAAAATCCCAGAGTGGGATTGAAGAATTGTTTCATGGCATTTGAAACTGGCGAGGTGGAGCATTGATGCATAGGAAAATTCCTGAGAAAGCATCTGAGAAACTCAATACCGTAGCAAAGGAAGCCCACCAGTGGACAAAGTTGGAGAGCAGAGCTTCCACAGAACTGGAGTCAAAGGGTGGGTCCAGATACAAATCGCCTCCAAGACCTGTGACAGCCAGCTCTGAAAGAGGGAGGACTGTGCATAGTTACAAGAGGACAAGGAAAAGAGGAGGGGGTAACCCTACAAGTCCATATACAATGAGAAACCTGGTCTCAAAATCAAACTGAGGACAGATGGTTTTTGAAGAACTGCATCAGCTCAAGATACCTATGTTAAATAAATATTCCCCAGAAAATACATTGCAAAGAAAAGGAGAAAGTAAAGGTCCTAGAGAGGAAATTGAGGGAGGTGAAAGTCAGAAAGTAAAATAACCTGACAAAGTATACCATTAAAAAAAGGTAAATGCGACAAAATGGAAGAAAACAGTAGGCCAGGTCAAAAGAAGGTAGGTACAAGTTGTCCCATAAAGTTGATAGGGTCATGAAGGAAAGCCTCCAAATAAATATGAACAAGAATAAGCAAAGAAGTTAAACAAGAGATGAAGACAAGTAGATAGAGACAATGAAAAATGAGAGAAAAGTAGGAGATCCTTAAACTGAAAAAAAACAAAACAAAAAAAAAACAGGTGAACAAGGCTCATGCATCAAGGAAGCCTAAGATTCAGCAAAAAATTATTAGAGAAAGAGAAAACAAAAGACACCTATAATATCCTAACAATGAAAGACAAAATGGGACTACCTAATCCATGTTGAGAAGAGGGAACAAAAAGAGCAAAAACAGGCCTAAAAACAACAGAGGTGAAACACAAGATGGGGCAGGTTCATCTGAAGCAACAGAAACAGGAGGTTGGGAATCATAAATCTGAGGTCAAAATGGAAACAACCACATGATATAAAATGACAGTATTATCACTAACCTTCACTGTCTCTCCAGTTGCCATTACAGTATTGTATGACTCAAGTGAAGGAGTGTTAAAAAGGTTGGGAATCCTAATCTGAGATAAAAATAAAACCAAACACAGTGTGCAAAATGACACCTTCAGTGTCTCCAGTCACCATTACAGTACTGAATGACTTGTGAAATAGGGAAATATTAGCAATATGGAAAAATGAAAGCATAATCCATTTAATTCACAAACCTGATATTGTAGTGGTCCATTTTTGTAAAATACATAGAATATTTTTTATTTGTTTTTTGTTATTAGTTAGAAAGAAAATGAGCCGGGTATAGCAATAGTGAATAGGCCTAATGACGACCTTGAAGGGTACTAGACAAAATCTGTTCGATGGATTAAACAAAAAAGAACAGACTATAAGATATGTCTCAAAAGTACAAAGTTGATTTAAAAAGTAGGTACAGTGATAGGTTAAGATTAGTGCCTTTGATAATTATGAGATGGTTAGGTTACTTAATTTTACTTTTTCAGTTTATATTTATGAACAATTAATCAACATTCCTTGACCTGAAGTTGCTAGATGGAAAAATGATTGAAGAAAATAATTCTGAACTTAAGAAAAAATTGGAATGTTAAAGAATGATAACTCTCATGGAACAGATAGTATATCCCTAAGGGTTTTTAAAGATATTAAGGATTGAATATGCAAGTCATCTGCTAATAATTTTTGCAAGTCCTTAAATGGTGGAGATATGCCAGAAGATTGGAAGTTGGCTAATGTTACTTCTTTTCTCAAGAGAGGTGATAAAAAATTTCCAGGTAACTATAGACCTATTAGCCTTATATCAGTGGTGGAAAATGTTTTGAAGTCTGATAATAGATGCTTTGCAAATTCATTTAGAAAAGTTTAAAATTTTGATGGATAGTCAATATGGTTTCACTAAGGAAAACATCTTGCCTTACTAATCTTCAGACATCCTTTGAAGAGGTTACTGCTTAGAGTATGTAGATGAGGGTAAAGGTATCAATTTGGTATATTTGAATTTTCAGAAATCATTTGACAAGGTGTCACATAAAAGGCTTGTTAAAAATATATAGGGATAACTTGACTTACTGAGCAAAAAATAGAGGGTTGTTATAAATGGAATTTAATCAAATAGGGCTCAGCATTAAGACCTTTGTTTTTTTTTCATATATTTCAAGGACACATGAAAGAATGATCAACAAATTGCTTGCACTTGCTGATAATATTATTGTCTTTGCTGTTTCTGGCTGTGAGGAGAATGCTGCTGCTGTTTTACAGAGATTTAAATTATTTGGAAAGTTGGGCAAATAAATGACAGATGGCTTTAAATTATAATAAATACAAGTACTTGAGTAAGGAAGTACATTATACTAATATAATATTAAGTTAGAAAAAATGATTTATAAACATAATGAAGTGATTTATTCTTTGAAGAACATACATGTTTCGACAGAACTTTGGGATGTAGTATGTTCTCCATAAAATAAATCATTTCACTTATGCTTATAAATAATTGTGTGCCAACTAATTATAACAAGTGTAAAGTAATGCATGTGGATTATCACTATTTAAATTATAATTTTTTTATGAGAATAGCCTTTACAGTGTTATGAAATAAAAGAATCTTGGTGTTTTGGTTGGTCAGTCTCTTAAGGCATCCAAGCAGTGTATTGCTGATAGTGGTAGAGCAAATAGGATTTTACTTTGTATCTATAGAAATACTGAATACAAATCTAAAGAGGTTATAATTTCATTGTATAAATCAGTTATCAGGCCTCATACGAAGTACTTTGTTCGGTCTTGGGTCCCTTACCTTAAGAAGGACACTGACCTGTTGGAAAAGGTTCAAAGAAGAGCTAATAATATGATACCCAATATGTAAAGGTAGTCATATAAGGTCATGTTAAGTTTTCTGAAATGGCATTTAAGATAATTAAGATGACTGATAGTGTTGATACATCATCTTTTTGTACTTAATATTGAAAATGGCAGGACAAAGGACATGACTATAAGTTTTCATAGGCTAGGCATCATCCTCAGCTATGATATTTTTACTTTTCTAACAGGGTAGCTGAGCACTAAAATAGGTTGGAGCATATTTCAGGGAGTTTAAGGGAAGGTTTGATAAATACTTAAATGAAAGGGCTTGTTTATGAAGTTTAGTTTAATGGATGGTGCAGCCTGAATAACCCAATAGACAACCTGATGTCCTCAAATGTTATATTAATTGCAACATTATTTCAATGAGAAAATTCAACATGTATACATATTTCAAAATGAAATTTTGAAAAATGTTCTGCAAGAGCATTCCAACCTGGTTTACCAAGGTGAAGTGCACAAATTAAGAATTATAAGTTAAAGATCTGCGAGTTTTATGCTGCCTTTATTAATTACTTTTACCATGTTCATTACTTAATGTAAAGGGAGGTGGCCAGAAACATTTTTTGACTCCTCAAAAATCAAAAACCCTTTAGTAGTTATAGTCTCAGGTATAAGAGAAAAAAAATTAAAAGGCAAAGTAAAATCCTGAATTTTCGACTAAACTACAAAAATATATTTTAGTACAAACATCTAGTTTAAAACAATTACATTATTAATATTGATAATGTCCCATATACATACTAAAAGTTTACACAAGTCATGCACTACGAATGCAAGTTTAACATTAATGTTTTACTTGGATCATTATTATCTACATACATTACTTCAACTTCTCAAATATACAATAAAGTAAACTTAGTTTACTGTAAAGACTAAAGTCTAAAGTGATACTACACAACCACGAGTCAATGAAGGCAGTGAACTCACACTGGTGACAGCAAACTAACAGTCACATTATTATAGGTTTTCTCCAAATTCAAATTGTTATTGATGCATTGAACTTTCTTAAGTAGAATTATGAGATTCTCAATATATTTTAACTGAAATTAGCTGTATGTGTGCGTTACTTTTGTATTATACTAACCACAATTTTAAGATAACAATTAACGGCTAACTTGATTAAAGAATATATAGCTTTCACGCCCTCTGTGAGGCGGTATTCTTTACATATATTGTAGTTATTATTATGTTTGTATTTTACTTAATTTTTTCTCTGTCGGTTAGTTGAGCTATTTTTTGAGTTTCTTTATAAAATACCAGCTTACTTCCGATAGTTAATTCATCTTACCACTAATTTTTTGCAGTGAAACAAATGACTGAGTGGATGGTGGTGAGGTTATTTGTCAAGATAGTTGTAGACTTGTAGTACATAGTATTACGTATCTGCTCGTTTGTTAATAAGAAGATTGTGAATGGTGGAGTACAGATAATTTTTCATCAGTTTCAGCTTACTAAAAGATCTCTCCCCTTCTACACCTGTGACTGGAATTGTGCAGAAAATGCAAATGGGTACATAAACATTTGGTAAAAATGGACGTAGCTAGAATTTTTTAAGTTTTTAGAATATGTAAATGATTTAATGCAGTATCGCCAAAGTTAACTTTGTGGGTTGCTTTTAAATATTTCATTTCTTCCAGTAAGTCTTCTGGCACACCAGATCTATACTTGGCAACAAACTCCTTAGTTTTTGAATGTAGATCATTCTCTGATATATCTAGATATTGCCACAAAAAAGAAAAACCTGGTTAATATACATCGCTGATCTATATCTTGTAGTGAGCCCAGCAATAGCAGAATCTATCATCTTATAGAATGTGTTTCGTCTGAATTTTGTCTCTTCTACAGGTTCATTTTCCTCACAATTAGGCAAGGGGGTTGTTTTTATTTTCATTATGAAAATACTTGAAAACTGTTTTCCATTTTACAGGTAGTTGTGGCAGAAGATTCATATTATTTGAAACCAATTTAGTTTCAAGAAGAATTGCATGAGCTCCATTGTTCACACAGTGTTTTTAAATCAGTCAACAAATTTTCAATGTTGTTCACTTCAATGTCAATGATAGCTTTGGGGGCCCGCAATACTTGATTATGCTTATCGATGATCACAAATACCTTTAACCAGATTCCAGCTATCAAGATGCAAAAAATAATAATAATTACTACACATAGTCAGTTAAATCTTTGACTTCAGATCTTGTAATATTGAGTTGAAGAGTTTCTGATAGTGCATCCAGAATTCTAGAAAGATGAGCTACAACAGGCCTGACACCTCCATTCTGTTTGTTCATTGTGTTCCCTAAAGTCCATGAAGAGAACAACCTATATTCTTGAGAAGAATGCTCCATTGCTATGTGCTACAACTAAATAGATTGTAAGGCTTTTGGACTATTCCAAAGAATGTCTGAGCTTCTGTGCAACTTTTCACTGCTTGTGCCCCACAAAGATTGAGATTATGGCAAGCACCACGAGAATTTAGATAGTAGATTAACTTTTAGTAATAGAGCTTGAACACCATTATACTCACCAGCCATGTTGATTCCATTGTCATATCCTTGGACTCTGCAATCCATTATTGGAATTTCATAATTAGCTAAGTAATCAAATATTAGATTAAAAATATCAGCCCTAGTCTTCTTATTGCAATCAATTAATCTTAGAAACCTTTCTTGAATGACAACGGAAGAACATTCTGATGGCATGCATACATATCTCAGGATAAAAGTTCTATATTCTTGGTGACATGAATCAGGTGTTGCATCTACTATAGTAGCAAAGTATTTTGCTGCAAGTCTTTACTCTAAAATAATGTGACGTACATGCTAAGCACAGATCGCTATGAATTCATTCTGGGACTCACCTGACAAGTATTTGGCTTGAAGACGGTAACCTGCTTACTGAGATTCTGCACCTCTCTCTCTATATGCTGCCTTAGAACTAGATCATAATGACTGAGCAGCTCTATTATTCCTAAAAATTACCATTATCAGACGCACCAATCCTTTGTGGTGTACCTCAAATGGCTAAACCTCTCTCCCCCAAGAAAAGGACAACATCTATAATCTTCTTTGGGATATCCTTCCATTTGGCTGCTCTTGAAAAAATACTCTTCTTAAGCTGCAAATCAACATAGGATTTTGCTCCAAAACGTCTCTAAAGTTCACGCCACTCATTATAGCATTTCTCTCATGCTCTGGGAGCCATTCACAAAGTTTCTTCCAGCCTATTGTTAACAGTCAGCTTTTTGCAGTTGTAATTGTAGAGTGTGACGCAACTGGAGTTTTGGTGAGAGGTCGACATGGAAAACAATACAAAGCTTACCTAATATTACTCCAAACTAACCATCACGTTTACTGTATTCACTATTTTGCAGCAAATAATTTAGAAGAGGATTTGGAAAAGGAAATATCTTTAGGGTCTTGTAGAAGTCGTGCTCTAACAACTAACTAAAGGTTTTCAGCTGATGCACTCTCATCAATTGAGATACCAACATCAAAGCCACTGAACTTTTTTGAAAGTGTTCCTCCAGTGGGAATTACATTTGGCTGTAAATAGTCACTTTGCTTTTCTGTAACAGGATATGCTGTGAAATTGTCATTGGTATTAACATCATTTGACATTTCATCATGCTCAGTTTATTTATCAAAATAACAATACTTGCTTCATGGAATTTATTGACATTAGATCCTGAATGAAACGCTTTGGGCTGATTTTCACTTTTCTTTTCAAAACCAACACGGCCCGGCATGGCCAGGTGGTTAAGGCACTCGACTCGCAATCTGAGGGTCACGGGTTCGAATCCCTGTCACACCAAACATGCTCGCCCTTTCAACCGT